TTGGTGAGTAGTGACTGGGGTCTTAAAAGTTTTCGAGTGGTCATATAAGATGAAACTATTGGTGTCCTCTCATCTGGAGCAAAGCAGAGTGAAGAAAATCAAAGTCATTTGGAAACAATAAGTCCAAGGATATGATGGAAGACAGGGATCTCAGCCTTTATGACCCTGAGAACAGAAGAACCAGATGGTGCCCAGCTACCAATGCCAACCACTCAGAAAGGGATCAAAATTGGAGATCCTGTATAGAGTTGGTGGAAAAATGTGGAAAAAAATTCAAAATTATAAAAATGACCAGAATTAGTGGTTGGATAGAGTCTGGTGGAACCTTCAAGACTATAGCCCCTGGTTATACTTCAGGTCTGGAACTGTACTCACTTCTGTGAATTAGGTCTCAGCCAAAAAGTAGAAAGACCTACAAGCAGAACACTTATCCCAGGGACATATACCCACCTACCCTAAGAATATGTACTGCCTAGATCAATCAACCACAACACATGAGAAAGACGGCATGTGCATAGAAGGAAAGCTGAACAGACAGGAGTGCATAGATAAGAAGGGCACAGGGAAGGAATAGTCACTGGGAGGATATTGGAGGAGAGCTTTTTATGGCTGGGTATTATAATCTGGGCTGTGAAAGCAAATGTGCATGAACTGTTGTGTGTAAAATGAGTCTGCTTTGTAAATTTGCATCCGTACCACAATAAAAAATTGATTAAAAAAAAAAAAAATGAAAGGACCTGTTCCCAATACCACTGCTTGATTCTTGGATTACGGTTATATATACATTAGTGATTTAGAGCATATATCAAATTCTGGAGAACGTTATCCAATGACACAAAGTGAGAATACCTAGATAACACTATTACTGAATCTTCAAAAGGCCATTCCAACATTGTATCAAGCCAACTACTTGAAGATAATAGAAAACAGAATAAAACTAATGAATTTTATGAGCATGTACCCACTGCTGTTCTTTATGTGTTGGAAAATGAGTTTTGTGGTTAAAGTGATGCTGTATGGAATGGCATTACAGTGAATAAAACATTTTAAGTCTAAAAAAAAAAAAAAAATTACAGCCTTGGAAACCATAGGGGGCAGTTCTACTCTATCCTATAGTGCTGCTATGAGTTACAATTGACTCAATGGCAACAGGGAGGCTAGGCTCCTAAAACAAACTCCTGAAAAATACAGGAATGGATGGATATTTTCTTAGTATGATAATATAGATCCTGTGATAGGCAGAGTAATGACTTCTCAAAGATGTCGATGTTCTATTGTCCACAACCTATGAATGTTTCCTTATATGGTTAAATAAATTCTACAGATTCAATTTAAAGATCTTGAAATAGGAAGATTATCCTGGATTTCCCTGGTGGGCCTAAAGTAATCACAACAGTACTAATAAATGGAAGAGAGAGGTGTAAGATGGTCAGAGTCAGAGATATATGTAAAAGTACTATGTTGCTGGCTTTGAAGATGAAGAAAGTGGCAATAAGCCAAGGAGAAACCATGGGGGAATATAAGTTGGATGTAGGGAAAGTCTTCATAACCAGGACTAAAATTCTAGATGCAATAAAACAAAAGATTGATAAATTTGCTACATAAAAATAAAACTTTGCATGGCAAAAATCACCATGAGCAACATCAAAACAAAAATAATATACAACTGATGGTCTCTTCACATCTGGAGCAAAAGAGAAAGAAGGAAACTAGCAGTCTAAATTCCATGGCCTCATCCACCCTGAGACCATAAAAGCTAGATAGTTCCAGAAAGTTAGCATATCATACAATATGCTACATTCTGTGTAAAAAAGAAGGGTATCAAAACACAGGGAGGATAAACTGGGAAACAAGGAAGCTAGTGTCAGTGGAAAATTGAGGGCATGGGGTGAAGTTACATATACCAAACCAAATCCACTGCCATCGAGTCAATGCCAACTCATAGCAACTATATAGGACAGAGTAGAGCAGCCACATAGGGTTTCCAAGGCTGTAAATTTTTACAGAAGCAGACCACCTCATCTTTGTCCTGCCAAGTTACTGGTGGGTCCAAACTACTGAACTTTTGGTTAGCAGCCAAATGCTTTAACCATTGTACTACAGAGTGTAACTTTGTGTATAATTTTGACTCTTAAAAGCATACTAATAATCAATATGTTAAATAAATATAATAAAATCAATATGCATGAGGAGGAAATAAAATCTACAACTGAAAGTGAACTGAAATAAAAGAGGGAGAAAGGAAAGAAAAAGTCTTCTATTACCATTCCCACAAAACAATAAAACTAACAAAATATTCTCTACCATTTTCAAATAAATTAGTAAAAGGCCTTTTGTTGTCTGGAGTACAATGTGTTTCTTTTGGGAGGGATAAGAGTGGTAAATTTCTTTCCAAATCTACTCAGTGACAGAAGGAGAAAGAAACCAACCAACCAACCAACAAAATAATAAGACCAGAGCTTTCAGATGATATTTGTTTCATAGTCTTAAAATTTATTACCCTTCAGGCAGTGAAGAAGATTTAAGGGGAAGTGACAAATATTTATTTAAATAAAGTGGTCTGAGCATTTAAGGTATGTTTAACATGGATCATCTAATCATATCTACTAAAGATTGCCCACAGCAAACAAAAGTCAATTTATCTCCCTACTCATATAAACATTTTTCCTAGTTCACAGCTCAGATTTCTTAACTCAGAAATATTTCAACTTTTAGGGAAAAAAGAGAAAAGAAACATGACAAAACAAAAACAAAAACTAAACAGAGAAGACTACTCCATTCTACAAGCTAAAATATTTTAAAACATTCAATAATAGTGGCATTGATATCTGACAAAGAATGATGAACAGGCTGTAGGACAGCTATTTTAAAATGTAATAATGGAACCTCAGACAAATTCCTGTCAAAACAAAAGAGGAAAAAATAGGGTGCTCAATGAGACCATTAAAAAATAAAAAAATAAATAAATGACTTTTAAGCCAATACACCGATCAATGATGCAGGAACATAGTGGTACCATGAGTAATACAACCACCTACCACATTGCGAACACAACTGTGAAGAGAAAATTGCTGGAGGTGATTATCAAAAGTTGCAGTAATCAATGGGGCTTAGTAAAGGGCATTAATTAAAGCTCTGTGGTGTCCTAGATCGAGAAAGTGACTTTCAGCAAGGCACAGGCAGGAACTGATAGTTCAGAAGTAAAGACAGACTCTTCCCGTTCTAAATGATGAGACAATCAACCATAGTCATATCAAAGGAATCAGAATGCCACTGTCTCTAAAGTCTCATAAAGGCCACCAAAAGGAAACAGATGTAAGTAACAGAGTAGAAGGAATCCATACTTTGGGATGTTTTTTGATGATAAAAGGAACATAAAGTTCTTCTTGGAAGTCAGTAAACACAAAAACAGTAATACATAAGAATAAAAAAGGGGGGGGGAGGTACTTTTAAGAGAGAGATTTGAGCCCTGTTAGCAAAAATCCTGGTAGGCTATGCAACATAATTCAACTTGGACAATGACATAACTTTGTTAACACATGACCATACAGCTGTCAGAGGTCATGCATTTGTTTTTTGCTTTGAGCCTTGGAAGGATGAGAAATAGAAATGTGTCCACTTAAAGCCATATAAGACTAGTGACCTAATCATTTTGTAATGAGCTATGAGGCATTTCATAATCTTTTGATGCTTAAATGAAATGAATGTTACATATTTTATAGCCTACTGTTAGGAAAGTTGTTTTGCTTCAACATGCTATCTAGAAATGAGAAAGAAAAAGGTAAAAACAAGAAAGATAAAAATGAAACTATTCTATATCAAGCTCATTGGAGAAACAAAGTATGGAATATTAAGGAAACAATGTCTTCACACACAAGCTCAAACAATAATCATGGAAATCAGTTGTTTAATCTTGTGGGTTTCACAAAGCCAGACAATAAAAAGCAGCAAATCACTCTTTAATGGACTTATCAATTGCAAACAGCATAAGTAAGACTGAAGCATCAAAGATTTTCAAAAATCTTCATTTGTGAAGTCTAGCTGGAAAAAAAAAAAAAATTGTTACATTACTTTGTCCATCAAGAACAAAGGTAGTTTTTAGAGCCTATGTCAGTCATCTGTGGATCTCGAGAAAACAGCAACTGATGGTAATAGTTAATTCGAGAAAAAAAAAATGTTCAATTGTTTCAATTCAAGTACTACAAACAGGCATCCTAATTTTGAAGAAATTTAGTAATACATTCATGATTATACTTAAGACTTTCTTGAGGGACATTAAACAAATATAAATTTTAACAGTTTCTATGAGATTATACTAGGATGCTTAACATTGTATGTTAAAATAAAAGAACATAAATAATTTTGAAATATATAGTATTGCCTTCAGAAGATTTAATTCTAATTATTATTGATGCAAGTTAAAGGTTTTTTCAAGGCAATGCCAAGACACACATGAATTAACTTTTTGGTTTACTATGACCATAGTGAATGAACAGCTCAGATGTAAAAAACACACACAAAAAAACAAAAACAAAAAAAACCTTGCAATAGTGAAAACAGAAGAAAAAAATTAAAATTGATAGATATTTATATAATGCTATACTTATATAACTATATAATTTGAGAGTGAACTTGAATTTTTATCACTGTAAAGAAGCACTTGAGGGGGAGGAACAAAAAAGCAGCAGCACTTGGTCTTCTACTACTATAATAACAAAAGACTAGCATTTTTTTAAATGGCTATATCTTGATAAATTTGGAAATACATGACATACCCTCTATAACTGCATTACAAGAATTCAGAGCATTGCTTTGACTAGATGCTGACATTTCAAAAATTACTAAGAGATAATTAAAATATTACACAAGAAACTTCTAAAAACCCAAGTTACAAACCTTATTTCAATTTCCCCTTTATAGAAAATCATAAAGAAGGCTTATAAATTGACAGTGTAAAATAGTTTAGGTGAACAAAGATATAAGCAATGTAGGCCTCCTACCTTAACATAGCATTTTTCCCATCACTTCTTGTACACCAAACCTGTCGAGTCTGATAACCTATCTCTAAGTCCCATGGCTTGGAATGTTGATGTGGCTTGTAATTTTGATGTCTAAAGGTGACATGCTCCTTTGAGTCAGAGCTAAAATCCAACACAATTCTTCCACTTAAGTTAATTTCCTTAAAATGAGGCAGTCTACATTTACTCCATGGACCAACCTTCAGTCTAAAAGTATATTCCTCTTCCCCAAGAGGACAGGAAATGGGAGCATCACAGGCCCTGAACTCCGTCAGGTTTGGACACTGCAGTCCACCATACAGCGGGGGCGCAATGGCCACACGAGTCCTGTGCTGCAATTTCTTCCCACATCCATTGCTACACTGAGACCATGGTGAGAATTCAGATACAACACAGTCCCGGGGGCATGGAATGAGGCAAGCTTGTTCCATTGGAGGCTGAGGGGCAAAATGTTCACAAATTTCATTTGTAACCACACTTCTGTTCAACTTCTGAATGCAGAGCACTGTCCGGTGCTGGAGTCCGTGCTGAGCAGTCACACACTCTGCAGTCCGAGGCTTCAGTTCCCTATCAGCATAAGGAACAAGCACACAGTGGTGCCAGTCGGAAACCTCCCACTGGAACAGGTCACTGTGCCAGTCACAGACTCGGAAACAACTTCTTTCCTTTGCAGGTTTGTTGCTCTCATCACAGTTCGACAAGGGGCTTGTCCACCCTTCCACATGAAAACACCACACTGCACGAGTCTGGACTCCTCCAGGCCCACAGTCTCCTGTACACCTTCCCCAGGGGCCTAGAGGCAAAAAACAGGTGGGTCAATTACTCAATGATGACAGGCAGAAATTCACAGGAAAACAAGAGCCAATTTGCAAACATCTCAACATAACTTGTATGAAATTATGAATTATTATTGGCATAACAGAGACAATATAATTTGGTGTTTAAGAATGTGGACTCTGATGTCACCAAAGAAGACTTCAAGTAGCTAACAAACATATGAAGAAATGCTTCAGTCATTAGCCATTAGCAATATGCAAATCAAAATAAAAATGAGTGATCACCTCATCCCAGCAAAGAACAAAAAAACAGAAAACAAATTCTAGCAAGGGTGTGGAAAGACTGGAACCCTCATATACTGCTGATGGGACTGTAAAAATGTCAACCACTGGTGCTTCCTTAAAAAGCTAGAAATGTGATCCAGAAATCCCACTCCTAGTATATAACCTGAAGAAGTAAGAGCTGTGACAGGAGCAGATAGATGTACACTCATGTTCATTGCAGCATTATTCACAATAGCAAAGAGATGGAGGCAACCTAAATGCCCATCAAAGGGGGAATGGATAAACAAGCTGCGATACATGCATGCAATGGAATACTACCCAACATGAAAGACCAATGATGGACCTGTGTAACCTCTGATGTTGTTGTTGTTTGCCGTCGAGTAGGCCCCGACTCATAGCAACCCCTCCTTGGGTTTCTGAGGCAGTATCACTACAGAAGTAGGATTGCCCAACCTTCCTTCTGAGGAGTGGCTGGTGGGTTTGAACCGCCAGCCTTCTGGTAAGCAGTCAAGTGCCTTAGGCACTATGCTACCAGAGCTCCTTGTAACCTCTGATAGTGTGGATGAAATTAGAGGGTGTCATGCTAAAATTAGTCAATCACACAAGGACAAATATTGTATGAGACTACAATTGCAAAAAGTCTAGAAAAGGATTCCACACACAAAAATAGAAATATTCTTTGATGGTTACCAGAGGTGGAAGGAAAAGGGAAGGTAAAAAAAAAAAAAAGAGAAAAAGAAAAAAAAATGTGCACCCTGAATTAATTTGCTTTTGTTAGAATTCCGGTTCAATCTCTCATCAGCAATGTAAACTTTGATAAATCAACTTTTTAAGCCTTTGTTTCCTTACCTAAATAAGGTAAAAGATAATAAAACACTGACTTGTAAAATTATTCTGAGGATCAGTGCTATAATGTGGTGCCTGGTAGGCAATATACATTTAATAAATGATAGGTATCATTGTAATTATTATATTCCAGAGCCTATATATCTCAGGATTAATACTTTTTAGTTAGGCAGTAGTTCATCGAAAAGAAAAGCCCTAAATCTAGGATTTTTCATGTTTCCAATCCTTCAGCTTTCCAGTCCTACTCTAAGTAGTGCAGAAGAGAAATACAGTAAGCCCCAGTTACAAACATCCAATTTAATGGCAGCTCCTACTTGACCTTTGATGTTAAGTAAATTTGCTTCATTGGACCAACCCCTAGCCTAAGCCAAGCCCACTGCCATTGAGTCTATTATGACTTGTAGTAACCCCCATTGGCTCTCGAAGGCAGTAAATCTTCATGGATCTAGATTGCCTCATCTTCCTCCTGTGGAGCAGCTAGTGAGTTTGAACCACCCCCACTTCTGGTTAGCCACCAAATGACTTAATGCCACCAGAGCTCTTTGAACCAACCCCTACTGCCAAGAAATTCTTCATCACAATTACCTTTGCTTGCTGCACTTGCAGCTTTTAAATCATTGAAAAGGCTTCAAGCTTTTTCTTGCACTAAATTTAGGCTAAAAAAGAACCATGTGCATGTGTTCTGACTTACCTACAAATTCATCTTAAAGATACACTTAGGAATGGGTCTCTTTCATAACCTGGGGACTGTATGTTTTTAAAAAAATAACCTACCCAAGTAGCGAAATATATTTTCACTTTGTAAATAATTGCTCTCAGTTTTGGTCATTGCTTGCAGAATTACTTGCCTTAAGAAAAACTTCTGATACAGTGAAAAAAGCAAGGTAATAAACAGATGGACTACCCAATAAGCAAGGTCAACACTGGCTTACTTATGCTTATTTATGAATCTGTAGTGAATAGTCTCATATGGGTCTCATCCATGTTCACTACAGATTGGTAAGTAAGCTCATGCTTACCTAGCTTACTGAGTACTCTGTCCCTGTCAGGGATTATAAATTTGAAGATAGACTTTGATTCTGTAGGAAGGTACTGTGAACTTGGAAGAGAGATAGATGCCAGCCATACCAAAAGGCAGAATCTTTGCTGTGGAAAAATGTGAAATTGTTCACTACAGGTTAAAAAAATAAGCCTAAGGAAGCTAGTGGTTACCTTGCTAATTGGGTAATAAGACTCTGACAGTAAGGAGGAAGCAGCACTGAGTTATCTATGGAAAATTGCCATAGATCCTTGAAATGTACCTGTTTAAATTAATTAATTAGTTTTTGTGAGAAAGAGGCCAAAAAATGGACAGATGAAAAAGCTGCCCATTGAGGCCTACCACAATTTTGTATCTAATCTATAGGCAAAGCAGCTGACTTATCCAGAAGGCTGATCATGTAGCTTTTCACAAGGGCAGCAATTGATCATATTTTGTGACAATTCTTAAAAAACAACAACAAAAAGTTTCTTCTCTTTTGCTTCACTTAAATATGCAGTTTGAATCTGAAAAATCCTATCAGGTAAACCATATTATTGTTGACTGTGTATTAGAACTGTGATAACCATAAGGCCACTATACACCTGAGATATATTTTTTTATTTACACAGGACAGAAAAAGAAGGTACATTTTCTCTCTCTTCTCAAGATCTGATCATCTGCCCAAAATGCCATTTAATTATCCCATGGAATATGTTTGGATGTGCATTCCTAACATCAGGAACAGCAGATGTGGACATAGTCACACACGTTAGGAAGAGACAAGTATATCCTCAGAGAAGCAGTTATTTGCATTCAAGCTACATGTTCAGATGGGGATGTTTTCCTTTAGCAGGACATTAGTGGCTGGGTTCTAACCTGCACAATCATCCTAGTTCTTCCACACAGCCCTGATCGAGACATTTAAGTCTAGTATTCTGTGTAGAATTCTTGCCTTCCGTGAAGGAGACCTGGCCAATGTACTGCATGTACAGCTATCTGTTAGTGAAGGCTGGTGTGTAGCTATGATGCTGAACAGGTTTCATCAGAGCTTCTAGACTAAGAGACAATCGGAATAAAGGCCCGGGGAACTGTTTCTGAAAATTAGGACTGGAAACCCTAGGGATCACAGCAGTCAACTCCACAGCCAGTCATGGATATGGTGCAATGACAGACAGCATTTCATTCTATTGTGCATGAGGTCACTATGAATGAGGGTTGATGTTATGGTAGCTAACAACTACAACAGTGGTTGGCAATAGTGTGTTAGACTACAGTGTCAATGACTTATGTCACTTTGTGAAAGAGATTAATGTAGAAAATGCCAAATCCTCTTTTCAGTGCACGCATTCTAGAGGGTTTTAGTTCTCACACTCCCTTGGGGCTGACCACATGCTTTCCATAGTATATTGCTCCAGCATTGACTGCTCATGGTACAGTAAACACTTATGGAAAGCAGTGCCCCTAGCACTAGATGATTAAACTGCCTGTCCTCATTTCTGGTGATTTGTTTCTAAATCATCCACAATTTTTAATTTTGTGAATTGAGATGTTCCCTGTTATTTGAAAGATATTTCCAGGCTCCAGATGTCTATATGTTCTGAGTAATTTCAGTTTAAACATTCTATCTACTGCCTGCCATGTCAGACTATGCATACAAAATTGTACTCTTAGCAAAAGAATTGCTATGGTTATTCAGGAAAGAGGAATTTCAATAAAATAGACAATTGCAGCAAACTTTTTAAAATCTAAAATCAGACTCAAATTATATGAAATAGTTGTTGGATAAAGTTAAAGTGAACTTCTAAAAAGTGCTATCAGTTTTTCAAAAATGCCTGTCAGTTTATATTCTTAGCTATTAAATGCACTCAATATTTTACTTACACAATTTGGTATGGATTCAAGAAAGTATGATCACAAAAATGAAGAAGCTATTTCTCCTCAATCACGAAAGAGTTAATTAACATTAAATTTAACTCATTTACAACATCTTACCAAGTGGCCCTTTTTCCTTCTTTAAAAGCAATTAACACATTTTCCATCCTTTACACTATTGTTTTTGAATTATTACAAGTTTCCTACTTATTCTCAAAATGAAGTAAATTTTCATTATTTAAAATCATTAATAATTTAAGCTTAATGAATTACTATCCTTCCCTTAACTGTCATATCCTAAATCTATTCAGAATTTTACCAAACAGCAAAAATTTATCCTACATCAAGAGCAGATACAGCATAACTATTAAGAAGTAATTACTACCATTTATGAGTGGTAAGAGTGGTATGCTGGTCTTGCCTGACTATTGTTAAATATTCAGGAATTTTTCCCAGCTGGTTAATAAACCATTCATGTTTGAAATCTGACATGGTGAGAAGAATAGTTACAGAGCACTACAAATCCAGCCCACCCCTCAGCACGTCCCCAGCACAAACTTACATACTAAATTCCTGCTGTTTAGTAAAACAGCTCCATGAGGTAGGATTACTGTGCTTATTTCATTACATGGGGAAAAAGAGACTTGGAGAACTTAAAAAGCAGACCTAAGGAAGCACAACTACCATATGTTGTTGTTAGGTGTCAGCAAGTCAGCTCTGACTCAAAGTGAACAAAACACTGCCTGTTCCTGCGCCAGCCTCATAATCCTTGCTATACCTGAGTCCATTATAGCATCCACCATGTCAATCCATCTCCAGGGAATGGTCCCCTCTGATAACATGACCAAAATACGTGAGATGAAGGCTGGCCATTCACGCTTCCAAGGAGCATTCCGGCTGCACTTCTTCCAGGACAGATCTGTTAGTTCTTCTGGCAGTCCACGGTATTTTCAATATCCTTTGCCAACACCACAACTCAAAAGCATCAACTCTCTTTTGGTCTCCCTTCTTCATTGTCCAGCTTCACATGCGTATGAGGCAATTGAAAATGCCATGGCTTGGGTAGGTGTACCTTAGTCTTCAAAGAGACATCTTTGCTCTTCAGCACTTTAAAGAGGTCTTTTGCAGCAGATTTGCCCAGTGCAGTATGCCATCTGATTTCTTGACCGCTGCTTCCATGGTTGTTGACTGTAGAACCAAGTAATATGAAATCTTTGACAAATTAAATCTTTTCTCCATTTAAGATGCTGCTTATTTGTCCAGTTGTGAGGATTTTCATTACCCTTATGTTGAGGTAATCCATACTGCAGACTGTAGTCTCTAATCTTCATCAGTAAGTGCTTCAAGTCATCTTCACTTTCAGCAAGCAAGGTTGTGGCATCTGCATATCACAGGTTATTACTGACTCTTCCTCCAATTCTGATGCCACTTTCTTCTTCATGCAGTCCAGCTCCTCAGACTATTTGCTCA